CTAAAGAGCTTCACAGATAAAAAAAAAAGCTAAAGGAATTCATCACCAGCAAACCAGTATATTATATGAAATGCTGAAAGATATTCTTTAAGAAGAAGAAAAAGAAAAAAGTAAAGATAAAAATTATGAACAACAAATACATATCTACCAACAAGTGAATCTAAAAATCAAGTGAATTAAAAATCTGAGGAACAGCCAAAGCCGGTTTGGCTCAGTGGTAGAGCATCAGCCTGCGGACTGAAAAGTCCCAGGTTCGATTCCGGTCAAGGGCATGTACATTGGTTGTGGGCACATCCCCGGTAGGGGGTGTGCAAGAGGCAGCTGGTTGATGTTTCTCTCTCATCGACATTTCTAGCTCACTATCTCTCTCTCTCTTCCTCTCTATAAAAAATCAATAAAATATATTAAAAATAAATAAATAAAATAAAAATCTGAGGGACAGAATAAACTGGTGAAGATAATAGAATCAGGGGCATAGAAAGGGAGTGGATTGATAACTCTCTCGGGGGAAGGAGTGTGGGGGTGCAGGAAGAGACTGGACAAAAATCATACACCCCTGGATGAGGACAGTGAGGGGTAAGGGTAGAGGATGGGATGGGAACCGGATAGAGGGGAGTTATGGGGGGAAAAGGAGAAACAATTGTAATAATCTGAACAATAAAGATTTATTAAATTTTAAGAAATTAAAATAAAAAGAAGAAAAAAAAAAACTGCAGGCAGAATAAGGAACTCATACAACTTCACAGAAGGAAGACAAACATCCAATTAAAAATGGGCAAAGCACCTAAAGAGACACTTCTCCAAAGAGTACACAGGAAGGCCAAGAGACATATGCAAACATGCTCAAGGTCACTGATCATCAAAGAGATGCAAATTAAAATGGCAATAAGGTACACCTGTCAGAATGTCTACCACCAACAAATCCATCAATGACAAATGCTGGCGAGGATGTGGAGAAAGGGAACCTTCTTGTGATGCTGGTGGGAGTGCAGACTGGTGCAGCCACTATGGAAAACAGTATGGAGTTTCCTCAAAAAACTAAATATGGAACTGCCATCTGATCCCGTGATCCCACTTATAGGAATATATCCAAGAAACTAGAAACACCAATCAGAAAGGATATATGCACCCCTATGTTCATAACAGCACAATTTACAATAGCTAAGATCTGGAAACAGCAAAGTGCCCATCAGCAGACGAGTGGATAAAAAGCTGTGGTACATTTACACCAGGGAATACTGTGCAGCAGTAAAAAAGAAGGATCTCTTACTCTTTGAGACAGCATGGAGGGACCTGAGTATCATGCTAAGTGAAATAAGACAGTAAGAGAAAGAGAAGTATCACATGATCTCACTCATGTGGAATCTAATCCTATCTAATAAAAGAGTAATATGCAAATTAACCATCACTCCACTACACCCACAAGCCATGCGCACCAGCCAATCAGGAGAGAATATACAAATAAACCCAACCAAGGTGGCTACAGAGAGCAGGAGGGAGGCTTGGGTTGCCCCCCGCGATGAAGGAAGTCAAGCTTTCGGAAGGAAGTCAAGCTTTCCGCACACCCTGGCCGGCCTTGGCCTCCGCTCCAGGATACAAAGTTTCAATTATAGAAGATACATAAACCCCAGATACCAGGGCCTCCTGGTTGCCAGGGGATGTGGCCGGCCTGTAAACCACCACAGGCCCCTGGCCCAGGCCGCCCCATGCCCCAAGGGAACTCCCACCCTGATACAGGACACCCTTCAGGGCAAACCAGCCAGCCCTCACCCATGCACCAGGTCTCTATCCTACCTAATAAAAGAGTAATATGCAAATTGACCATGCCTCCAACACACAAGATGACTGCCCCCATGTGGTCAAAGATCCTGCTCCCATGTGGACACAAGCTGGCCATCACAAGATAGCCAGCAGGGAAGGGCAGTTGGGAGGAACCAGGCCTGCAAGGGAGGGCAGTTGTGGGCGATCAGGCCAGCAGGGGAGAGCAGTTGAGAGGGAGCAGGCCTGCAAGGGAGAGCAGATGGGGTGACCAAGCCAGCAGAGGAGGGAAGTTGGGGGCAACCAGGACTGTAGTGAAAAGCAGTTGGGGGGGACCAGGCCTGCAGGGGATGGCAGTTAGGGTTGACCAGGCCTGCAGGAGAGGGCAGTTATGGGCAAACAGGCTGGCAGGAGAGCAGTCAGGTATCAATCAGGCTGGCAGGAAAATGGTTAGGGGGTGATCAGGCTGGCAGGCAGAAGTGGTTAGGGGCAATCAGGAAGGCAGGCAGGCAAGCAGTTGGGAGCCAGCAGTCCTGGGTTGTAAGAGGGATCCTGGTGTGGGACTGGGCCTAAACTGGTAGTCAGACATTCCTCGAGGGGTCCCAGATTGGAGAGGGTGCTGGCTGGGCTGAGGTACACCCCTCCCCCCAAGCACAAATTTCGTGCACCGGGCCTCTATTACAGAATAAACTGATGAACAGAGTGGATCCAGAACCACAGAAGCGTGGGACAGAGTGCGGCATCTGGGAGGGGAGGCGGGGAGGGAGGATGGGTGGGAGGCAATCAACTGAGGACCTTGTGTGCACATATGCATGGCCACGGACACCGACAATTAGATGGTGAAAGCCTGGGGTGGGGGTGGGGCTGAAGGGGGTCAATGGGGAAGGGGACATATTTAATACTTTCGACAATAAAGATTTAAAAAAAGAAAAAAAGAAACTGCAGGTGGAGACAAACATCGGATCCCCCTGTCGTACACCTGGCACTCAATAAAGACAAAGCAGTCCAAGAGACAGAGACACGGGGACTGGCGAGGGAGCTCTGACTCAGGGAGGGACAGCACGTCTGGAAGCAGCAGCCCAAAGCGCAGCCGGGGGAAAGCACCCAAACACACACGGCACAACACCGGTCAGAAAAAGCCACGCGGAGGCCACGGCAGCACTGGCTTTAAAGATCAAATCCCAAAAGGACCCACGTGCAGAATAAACTGCATTTTAAAATTAGCCAGGTGGAGGGCAGCCTCGGCAGCCTGCCCTGGACAAGGCCTGGAGCCGTGCATCGCTCAGGGGTCCGGCGCTGCCGTGGCTGACAGGAACCCCTGCCACAGGGCAGCGGGAGGGCGGGCCACGGGGCGTGGCTGGGCAGGCCTGAGTCCTGCTCGCGCACTGCAGGCCACAGCTCTTTCCCTGATGTCACTGCAGGTGAATGACGGCCACACGGTCCTACCTGCCTTTTCCCTCCTGTTACTTCATAGACACACACACAGCGCCATTTCCAGAGGCTGCGTGTGGGCGGCGGAGCTCGACGGCCCACACGCCCAGACGGTCCTCGCACCTGTGAGCATGTCACCTTCCATGCTTTACAGGTGGAAGGATGTTCAAGGACCTGAGATGGGAAACCATGCTGGTCCTTCAGGCAGGAGGGAGGCAGAGGGTCAGAGAGGCAACAATGAGCAGAGGTCGGAGGGATGTGGGGCCCGGGGATAAGGAAGCAGCACATCTATGAACTGGATAAGGCAAGAATCGGGGGATTCCCAGAGCCCCAGGAGGAAGGCGACCCTGCCAACCTGCTTCGGACTGCTGAGACCCGTGGGAGAAGCAGGCTGTGCGGCTTTCAGCCACTGAGTCTGTGTGACCGTCCGCAGCAGCCAGGACCACGACCCGGCTTGCTGGCGCTGCAGAGCAAATGCAAAGCACCCTGTGAGCCCGCCTTTCCCCAGCATGCCAGACATGAACGAGATTTGCCAAACTGTAACACACTGTCACCCTTCTAATTTTTAAAAATTATTTCTCACCCAGTTGGTGTGGCTCAGTGGTTGAGAGTCAGCTTATGAACCAGGAGGCCGTGGTTCAATTCGGGTTGTAGGTTCCATCCCCAGTGTGGGGTGTGTAGGAGGCGGATAATCAATGAAACTTTCTCATCACTTATGTTTCTATCTCTTTCTATCTCTCTCTCTCTCCCTCTCTCTTCCTCTCTGGGAAAAAAAAAAAAAATGTCTAAACCTCAGGCCTCAGTCTGAGTCTCTTAACAAGATTTAAAAATTAAATAAAAATAATAAAAAGTTTCCATTTTCATTGCTCACACAGTATCCAGAGACGTAACTCACACAAACCACCTTTAGCCAGATTTAAAGTAAAGCGTCCTGAAGCCACAAAGATTGAGCACTTCAGCACTAAACACACCAATGCCGCTCACAAACTCCATCTCCCAAGGCAGGTGCGTGTGTGTCAGAGGCCAGGGATGCCCAGGACGGAAGTCAGCGTGGGTGAGAGGAGGGGGTGCCTGGCCCGCTCCCTGCACAGCCCGCCCACGTCTGTGATCACAGAGGGATGAGGACACGGAAGCTGTCCATGCCACCTGTGCCCACGCCCACTGAGGACAGAACATCTGATCGTGTTCACAGCATGAAGCACAAACACTAAGAAGCCTGCGGCATTTGTCGGGAACGCCACAAACGAGCAGCTGGCCTAACCCCCTGGACTCCTCGTCAGCCGCCGGCAAAGGCCACAGGGACTTGTGGACACACTACCACCCCCATCAAAGGTTTCTCCGTCAGCCAAGGTCACTGCTGCGGGGAAATCCCTGGGAACAAACTAGAGTAGGTGACACGTGGACCACGCTCGCAGGCCATTAGAAGCGCCTCCAGGCCCTCGCGGGTTTGGCTCAGAGACAGCGTCGACCTGTAGACTTACGGTCCCGGGTCCATGCCTGGGCTGCAGGTCCAATCCCCAGCCTTGGTTGAGGCGTGTGCAGGAGGCAACCAACCCATGTGTCCCTCTCAGATGGAAGTTTCTTTCACTCCCTCTCCCCTTCCCTTCTACTCTCTCTAAAAATCAAGAGAAAAATATCCTTGGGTGAGGATTAACAAAAAACCACAACATCTTACGGTTAATGCATTTGTTTTCACCTCTACACAGCAGAGGGAAAGCACACGGGCTGGGGAGGGATGAAAAGGTCTTTAGAAAATGCCAGACGGCCCCTGGGAGCAGACGGCGCGGTCCTCACTCCGGCCACAGGCTCACCTGAGTTGGCATCTGCGCTGAACTCCAGGCGGAGCTCCCCCTGCTGCGCTGCCCGGCTCTGCTCCTCCAGAACCTGGTCGATGACGTCCAACCCAGAGGCCACATCGTGGGGCGTCAGATCAAAGGACGCCGACTCCTCACACATCTTCTCCTGAGAGGCCAAGCACACAGTGTGACAGTGAGCAGGCGCTGGGCCTGGAGAGCTCCCAGAGGCAGGGCCTGGGGGTGCAGAGCCAAGAAGAGTGGGGAGCCCAGCCCTACCCACAGACTGAAGCTGGGCACAAACATCCCACAATAGAAGCTTAGTCCACACGGCAGCCCACACAGCAGCTTAACTCACACAGCAGCCCAGCCCAGTGTTTGAAACCACTTTACTTGAGCAGCCAAAACTTCACAAAAGGAAATTTCCTGTTAAAATCTACCCTCTGGCTGCTCTCAAAGTCAGATCTGGTTCATGGCAGCAAGTGCCTGGAGCTGAGTGGGCTGAGGGCTGCCACCCACTCTGGACACCAAGCCGTCCTGGAGCCGCCCCCACTCCGGAGCACGAGCCCAGCTGCCTGGCCCTCCCCCCAGGCCTGGTCAAGGCCACGGCTCCTGGGAACACAGGCTCTGGCAGAGGCCACATGACCGCGGGGGGGCGCAGGTGACAGGTCTGCTTGGTCCTGGCATTCGGGGCCGCAGGGCTGGGACACAAAGGTCTACAGTGCTCTCTGCGGGGAGAGGGGGTGACAGGCGGGAGGGAGGGCGGGCACAGAATAGGCCCCGGCACTCACCACATTGTGAGCTTCATCGAAGATCACCACTGTCCCCTTCAGGTCGATGCCATGTGCCCGGCGACTCTGCAGGCGGGGGAGAGGATGCAGCTGCAGGTGAGTGGGGCAGCCGCTGACCCAGGGCCCCTGGAGGCCAGGAGGGGCGGCTCAGGGAGCACAGACCTGGTGAGCCTGAGTCCATACCACCTGGGACACTGGGCAGGCCCTGATACCTGCTGCTGGCGGCTAGTTGTAGGTGCCGGGCACTGCCCACCACACTGGGCCAGACATCAGGTGTGTGTCCCAGGGACACGGAGCACAAGGGAGCATGACCCCTTGCACGGCAGCGCAGCAGCACCTGCCAGCGCAGCACGGGAGGGAAGTCACCGCAGAGGGGTCTGGCATCCGTACTTCTTCTATCTTAATTCTCATAAAGTGCCCGTTTTAAGTGTGCCATCAAGAGGTGACATCCCCGTCGTACAACCCCCTCTTCCTGTGAGCAGGGACCGGGACCATGAGGCCAGGAAGGGGCTGCTGTGTGGCGTGTTCTCCTGAGCCCACGCCTGCGGCTGCATGGAGCGCAGGTCCCCTCTTCTGTCGCAGCTGTTCTTGGGACACCAGCTGTTAAGGACAGGCTGTCTGGCTGTGGTGAATGTCCAACTTGCCGACACCAGTTTCTGGTTTTTGAAGTTCAGCCATTTTGGTGGGAATGCAGGGCCACCCGCCTATGGTCTTCATGTGCAGCTCCTGAACATTTTCTTTTTTTAAATAATTCTTTATTGTCGACTATCTCCAGCCCACCACAGCCCCTGGCCTCCAGCACCCTATTGTCTGTGCCCATGGGCATGCATATGTGCACACAGATCTTTGATCACTTCCCACCCACCCACCCTCCCCGCCTTCCGAGATTCCCCCTCTGCTCCCTGCTTCCATGGCTCTGATCCGCTCCGTTCATCAGTTTGTTTTGTTACTTAGATTCCGCATAAGGGAGATCACGTGACACTTGTCTTTCTCTGACTGACTTATGTCACTCAGCGTGACACTCTCCAGTCCCTCCATGCTGTCTCACAGGGTAAGAGATTATTTTTATGGCAGCGTAGAATTCCATGGTGTAATGTGCCACAGCTTTCTATCCACTCACTTACTGATGGGCAGGTGGCTGTTTCCAGATCTTAACTACTGTACATTGTGCGGCTATGAACATAGGGGCGCATACGTACTTTCTGATTGATGCTTCAGGTTTCTTAGGATATATTCCTAGTCGTGTGATCATTGGATCAAATGGCAGTTCCATATTTAATTTTTTTTTAGGAAAATCCACACTGTTCTCCACAGTGGCTGCACAAGCCTGCATTCCCACCAGCAGTGCATGAGGGTTCCTTTTTCTCTGCATCCTCGCCAGCACTTGTCATTTGTTGATGGTGGCCATTCTGACAGGTGTGAGATGGTACCTCACTGGCATTTTAATTTGCATCTCTCTGATGATCAGTGACTGAGTATTTTTTCACATGCCTCTTGGCCATCTGAATGTCCACTTTGGAGAAGGATCTATTTAGGTCCCTTGCCTATTTTTTAATTGGGTTGTCTTCATTTTATTAAATTGTATGAGTTCCTTATATATTTTTAATATTAGCCCTTTATCAGATGTACTAGTGGCCTGGTGCATGAAATTCATGCACTGGGGGTGGGGGGTGTCCCTCTGCATGGCCTGCACCCTCTCTAATCTGGGACATCCCTCTCAAAATCTGGGACCATTGGCTCCTAACCACTCACCTCCCTGCCAGCCCGACTGCCCCTTTCTGAACTTCCCCCTTTCTGAACTGATTACCCCAACTGCCCCCCACTGCCAGCCTGCTCGCCCCAACTGCCCCCTTCCCCACCAGCCTGCTCGCCCCCAACAGTCCCACCCCTCCACCCCCCACCGGCTTGCTTGCTCCCAAGTGCCCCCCCCTGCCGGCCTGCGCACCCCCAACTGCCCACGGGTACCCTTGCAGGTTGCAGGTGCTGATTAGGGGAGGAGGGCATGGTTGTTTCCTGGGACTGCAGGTACTGAGCTTTGCAGAGGGTTCGGCAGGCCTTGGAGGGGTGGGCACTGGCCACAGCCCTGTAGCAGTGGTTGTCCCTGGAGGTGCTGGCAGGGGGTGGCAGGGGGAACTGGGGGGGCGGTGAGGCCGAGGGGGAGAAACGGTCAGATCTCCCCGCTTGGCGCCATTCTCTAAATGTGGCCATTCTAAGTGCTCAGGGTGGGGCTCCGACCTCCTGAAGTGGGGTGGGGGCCAGGCAGGCTAGGAGGTCGGGTTTAGCCACAGCCCCCAGCGAGGTTCAGTGTGACATGCTGTGGGGAGGAGGTGGGGAGGAGGTGGGGGCGGCTCGGGCCTGGAGTTGTAGGGAGGAGAGGCGTGCCTGGCCCCAGCAGAGGGCCCCGCAGCGGTGGGCCATGGGGCAGCAGGAGGTTAGTGCTGGGGGTGAAGTCCCTGCCTTCGTCCCCACCCAACGGGTCCTGTCTGTTGACTGGTCACTGGTCATCACTGGGACAGTGTTAGGACCAATTAGCAAAGTCCCTCTTTATTATATAGGTTATTGTCAAATACGTTCTCCCATACAATGGGCTCCCTTTTCGTTTTGTTTTTTGTTTGTTTGTTTGTTTTAATATATTTTATCGATTTTTCACAGAGAGGAAGAGAGAGGGATAGAGAGTTAGAAACATCGATGAGAGAGAATCATCGATCAGCTGCCTCTTGCACACTCTCCACCAGGGATGTGCCCGCAACCAAGGTACATGCCCTTGACTGGAATCGAACCTGGGACCTTTCAGTCCGCAGGCCGACGCTCTATCCACTGAGCCAAATCAGTCCTGGCTCCCTTTTCGTTTTGTTGCTGGTTTCTTTTGCTATGCAGAAGCTTTTTATTTTTTATTCTTTTTTAATGTATTTTTATTGATTTCAGAGAGGAAGGGAGAGGGAGAGAGACAGAAACATCAGTTGTGAGAATCATGGATCGGCTGCCTCCTGCACACCCCCACTGAGGATGGAACCTGCAACCCGGGCATGTGCCCAAGACTGGAATCGAACCCGGGACTCTTCAGTCCGCAGGCTGACGCTCTATCCACTGAGCCAAACCAGGTAGGGCAAAGCCTTTTATTTTAATGTGGTCTCATTTGTTTATGTTCTCCTTAGTTTCCTTTGCCCTGGGAGATGTGTTGGTAAAGAAATTGCTACAACATATGTCTGCTATTTTGCTGCCTATGGAGTCTTGTAGGATGTTATGGTTTCCTGTTTTACACTTAAGTCCATTTTGAGTTTGTTTTTATGTATGGTGATCTGGTTTCATTTTTTTCATGTATCTGACCAATTTTCCCAACACCATTTATTGAAGAGACTGTCTTGACTCCATTGTATACTCTTGCCTCCTTTGTCAAATATCAATTGAACATAATGGCTTGGGTTGATTTCTGGGTTCTCTATTCTATTCCATTGGTCTATATGTCTGTTCTGGTGCCAGTCCCAGGCTGTTTTGAGAACAGTGGTTTTGTAATACAGCTTGATATATGGTACTGTGATCTACCTAGGTCTTTTGATTGGAGCATTTAATCCATTTACATTTAAGGATTATGGATAGGTACTTATTTATTGCCATTTAAGTTCTGTATGGCTAGGTTTCTCTATTTCTTCTCATTACAACAGTCCCTTTAGCATTTCTTGTAATGCTGGCTTGGTGATGATGAACTCCTTTAGCCTTTTTTTTTTTTTTTTTCTAGGAAGCTCATTATTTGACTGTCTATTTTGCTGGATACAGTAATCTTGTTCTCAGATCCTTGCTGCCCAGTACATTGAGTACTTCATGCCATTCCCTTCTGGCCTGTAGAGTTTCTGATGAGAAATCAGGTGTCAGTCTTGTGGGAACTCCTTTGTAGGTAACAGTTTGCTTTTCTCTTGCTGCCTTTAAGATTCTCTTTGACTTTAATTTTTGGCATTTTAATTATGATGTGTCTGGGCGTGGGCTTCTTTGGGTTCTTGCTTGGGGTTTTCTGTGCCTCCTAAACTTGTGTGACTTTTTCCTTTACCGAGTTAGGGAAGTTTTCTGCCATTATTTCTTCAATATGTTCTCTATCTCTTTCTCATCTCCGCCTCTTCTGGCACACCTGCTATTCTAATATTTTTACATTTCATATTGCCTCACAGCTCCCTTAAGCTATCCTCTTATTGTTTTTCTTTTTGGTTCTCTGATTTAAGTGATATTTTCAACTGTCTTCTAATTCACTGATTCGATCTCAGCTTCCCCTAATCTGCGTATATTCCTTACAATGTGTTCTTTATTTGTGTTATGTCATTCTTTATCTCAGACTGTTCTTTTTTCAGTTACTATTATTTCTTTCATGCTGTTGAGCATCTTTACTATGACTGTTCTGAACTGTTTCAGATAAATTTCTCATCTCTGCTTCATTTATCTCTTCTTCAGTGACAAGGGCTGCACATATTTTGGGCACCACCCTTTGAAAGACAAATGTACCAGGAGTACCTTTTCCCTTTCTGTGACTTGCCTTTGAACTTTCTTAATTTTCCTAACTCTTTCAAACACTCAAGGCTTTAAATTGTGATGAAGTCGCATTTATCAGGATTTTCCTTCATGGGTGCTGCCCTGGTAGTCTGAATGGAGAAAGCTCTCGCCCACTGCTGTGACCCCAGGTCCTCCCGGAGGCTCAGCTTCATGCGACAGGAAGTAGGGAAGTCCTGGGGAAGACCCACTCTTTTCCAAACAGACATCCAGCTACTCCAGTACCGTTTGGGGGAGAAACAAACAACCTTCCCTTTCCTTTCCCACAGAGATACCTGGCCAGTCTCTGTGGGTCTGTCCTGGACTCGATGTGCACGTGTCTGCAGTGAGGCCAGGCGTCAGGAGCGGGAGCTCCACCTGCTCTGAGATCAGTACATTTCCAGGAGGTCAGCTGAGATAGCATTGTCTTTGGGTACCCAGACGCAGTCTCCAGGTTAAAAGCAAGACTTTGGAGAATCAGCCCTAACCAGTTTGGCTCAGTGGATAGAGCATCCACCTGCAGACTCAGGGTCCCAGGTTCGATTCCGGTGAAGGGCATGTACCTTGGATGTGGGCACATCCCCAGTAGGGAGTGTGCAGGAGGCAGCTGATAGATGTTTCTTTCTCATCGATGTTTCTAACTCTCTATCCCTCTCCCTTTCTCCCTGTAAAAAAAAAATCAATAAAAAAAAAAGGCTTGGGAGAATCACACGAGCACTCAGCAAACACTGCTCTCTGTGCCAGAGTCCAGCCTCACTGGGCTTCTGCTCCCCTCCTGCACCTGCTCCAGCCTCCCGCTCCAGAAGTGGTTCAGGGGCTACTGTTCCTGAGGTCATGCCTCAGGCTCACCCCATGGCCCTCGGGCACTACCAACTCCTGTGCAGACTCTGCTGGAAGTCAGAGCCCACATGCTGGCTTTCCTGATGCTGCCTCCCAGCACCGAGACCTGTGCCTGGCACAGGGCGTTGTCAGCATGAACCCAGTCGATGCCAAAGCATGGGGCACATCCATGGGGTGCTTCCATGACATGGAGCATAAGCCGCTGGACCTGATGCCCCTACATTAAAACAGGAGGGCATAGCAACCCAAAGGCCAAACACCACGACACTCCAGTCCGGGACTAAAGCTGACTGCCAGGCGAGGGCAGGGACAGTCCAGCTGCAGCCCTGCGGACTCCTTGCTACCCAGCCAGCTGCTCAGAGCTGGTCACCAGTGGACCCTCACCAGTGAGGGACATCGGGTCCTCCCACACATCTGCTGGTCTGAGCGAGTCTCTAACCCCAGAAGCTGAGCCAGCAGAAGCCAGACGGCCCCAAACAAGCCCGGAGACCCCGGGGGGAGAATCGGTCTACATGGCTGAGGCCTTACCTTGGCATCCAGCAGGTAGTTGTAGGGCATGAAGATGATGTCAGCCTGCTGCTTCAGGTTCCGGGACAGGTAGTACGGGCACAGCCTGGGCACAGGGGAAGGACGTGAGTCTGAGGGCTGGGGGTTCAGGACATGCGTCAGCCACCCTGGGCATGGGTGGCTGGGCTGGATGCTACATCCTCTGATGGCCGCATGGGTAGCGGGAAGGGGAACATGTGTTCAGCTCTGGGAATGGATCACCTATTTAAAACTTACAAAAACAAAAAAAACTCAGCCTTGTTCTGGGTAGATTGGTGAGGGAAGCAGAAACAAACTGTCCTGTTTCATCACAGCATGGAGCCCTGACGCTCAGAAGTTCCAGCGACCGTCCGAGAGGTGGCGGGTCAGAGTCCAGTGGAGGGCTGAGCCCAAGGCAGGAGGGTCAGCACCACGCCCGCTGGTCCCCGAAAACCAGACCACAGGAGCACAGCGGGCAGGCCCACTCCCCAGCGGTCACTACTGAGCAGGCTGAGTGCAGGGAAGGAGGGCACTTCCGTTTCTCTCTCTATTCCTCAGAACCGGTCACGTTTTTATACTGAACTGTTAGTTCCATGATTAAAAGATGGAAACCAAAAAGGAAAGAAGCGTGTGAGTCCGCACGTGGCGGGAGGTCCCAGCCTGGAAGGCTATGCAGATGCGACCTCAAGGGAGGGACTTACTTGTGCCTGTTCCCACTCTTGACCAGGTCCTCGATGTCCAGGATGGGGGTGGCCAGGTCATGCTCCAGGCTCTTCTCTGGGGACACAGACAGAAACAAGCACACACCCTTTGGTCCTCTGAGTCCCAGACACCAGGATGGAACAGCTCCCACGAAGTGGGCAGAACTGGGGTGCCCAGCCACCTAGAGTCTCACTGGAGAGAATCCTTGACCGACGGGCAGGGCTCCCAAGGAGGGTTCTGAACCGGAAGTGACCCCGAGGGAGCCCTGCTCCGCACGCGGAATGGGGCTATCAGCCAAGGCTAAGCACCAAGAGGAGGGAGCACGGGCACGCCGGCCACTGCCACCCAGAGGCTCTGAGGACAGAGCTATCTCCGACGAGCCCTGCAGGTGTCTGACCTGGAATTAGGCTGCGGGCTGGCAGCAAGTCCCTCTCCTCCACCAGTGAGGAAAGCCGGCACAGCCGGGAGCAGAGCGCGGGGTCACTGCCTGCCAGGAACAGTGCGGGGAGCGTGCATCCGAGGCAGAGCCCACCGAGGCCCAACAGTCCCGGCCCTTCCTCTGGGGACAATGCTGGGCACCCTCCCTCTGACTGCAAGGTCCCAGTGGAAAGGGCTTCAGGAAGGGGCACAGGAATCTGCTGGGAGCTGCTCGGACCCAGCGAGGCCAGGCCGTGGCTGGCAGGACCAGGGGTCTCTGGCTGACACTCTAAGCCTTGGGACAGCCGTGTGTGGAAACCAACCCTGGCTCCCGGCCCTGCAGTGGCAGGCACCAGCCCAGCCCCAAAGTGCGGAGGCCAGAACACACCGGGCCTTCATCAGTGCCACACCCCAAAGTGCTCAGGGACAGCAGGCGAACGGGAGGAGGAAGAGCCATCCACGCCTCAGCAACTGACCAGCAATCCACAGTGCTGCTTGGCAGGCCAGCCACCAGCTCCACGACCTGATGAGGGGGCAGCAAGGAGGCACCAGGCTGACTGGTGAGGAGATGCTCCATGTGCCCCGCACCCAATGCGGGCTGGGCAGGTTCCAGCTCTGCATCTCTCTCCCAAGGCTGGGTAGCTGCTGGGACACCCTCTCATCCCATGGGCAAGGCCGGAGACGCCGAGCACAGCAAGGATGCTCACGTTTATGGTGAGCAGACCCAACGGCACAGACAGAAGAGCCAGGCAGAGCAGGTGAGCTGGGGACCAGGGAGGAGGCATGAGGCCGAGCCAGCAGGCCAGCTGGGGCTGCTCCCTTGCTGGCCGCGCAGGACCTGGGGCAGTGGGATGGCGCCGTAGCCCGTGGGCCAGCACACACCTGCTCCAGCACTGCCTCTCTGTGGGCAGAAAGCTCCCCTCAGCTGCCCCCGCCCCTGACCTCCTCCCCTCAGGGACCCTCCAAAGAGATGAGGGGCGGCTGGCGAGGGACCCAGCAGGTGAAGGCGAGGCCAGCAGAGAGGGTGAGCTGACCCACAGCAGCCGGGAATGGTGGCTAGAGTGTCCCACCCAGTGCTGTTCCAGGCTCTGGCACATGGCACCTGCACCCCAATTCCTCTGCCAGGGATGATGTGGACAGGGAGGCAGCCAGGGGGGGCAACTCCATCGACCCTCGCGGGTACAGAGCCAGGGTCCACGCGAGGCTGGCCTGGGGTGGAGGGCTGCGAGCAGAGATGCACACAGCAAAGGGGAAAGAACACCTCCCACGCAACCATGCCCACAGGCCCACGCAGACGCAGGCCAGAGGCAGGCTGCACTCCGGCTGGGCCCCACCCTTCACGCTGTCCCGAGTGTCCTCAGTGCCACCAGACCCAAACCAGCAAACAAAATCGGATGAGCGAGTTCCAGGAGCTTGGGTCTGCATTTCAAGCCAAGCTCTACAGGAGATGCCTGAGGAGGGCCTGAGCCATGCCCACATCAGGCACACACTCTACCCATCTCTCCGAGAAGCAGGGACACCTCCTGGGGGAGTGGGGGCCCCGGCGCAGGCCTCTGGGCCAGTGGTCGGCAAACTGTTAGTCAACAGAGCCAAATACCAACAGAACAATGACTGACATTTCTTTTGAGAGCCAAACTTTTTAATCTTAAACTTCTCCTAACGCCACTTTTTCAAAATAGACTCACCCAGGCCATGGTATTTTGTGCAAGAGCCACACTCAAGGGACCAAAGAGCCGCATGTGGCTTGCGAGCTGCAGTTTGCCGACCACAGCTCTGGGCAATGCTGTCCTGACCCTCTTCCGGCAAGGCCCAGACTGGGCACTCTGAACCCAGACAGACGGCGGCCCACCAATGCTGAGGCGTGCTCAGAGCCAACGGCACCTTTGGGTCAGGGTCTGAGTTGTAACTCTGAGGCAGGAAACAGAGGGAACCTCGAAACCCCCTCTCCCCCCGCCGTAGATGGGAAATTGGAGGCTGCTCTGAGGCCATCCTGCCCCGCCTCCAGAGGAAGCCCCTGACGTCAGGAGGGGCAGCCTCAGTGGAGAAACAGAGAAACTGGAGGTGGGAGTCCTGGTGCCAACCCCTGCATGTGGCCCAGCGAAGCCAGCACAGGAGACTGGCCTTCCTTCCCAGGCCGGGCACTACAGTCACACGCCAGCCGCACAGGCAGGCTACTGCCACCAGCCCTAGGCTCACTGCTGGCGCTCATCTCTGCATGAAGCTAATCGCCTCACGCATGCGCTGGAGGAGCTGCTGGGACTCCAAGAGCGCCACGCACACGCTGTGACGCGTTGCAGGGAAAGGACACTGCAAAATCCCCAAAGGGGCCGAAACCGGTTTGGCTCAGTGGATAGAGCGTCGGCCTGCGGACTGAAAAGTCCCGGGTTCGATTCCGGTCAAGGGTATGTACCTTGGTTGCGGGCACATCCCCAGTAGGGGGTGTGCAAGAGGCAGCTGATCGATGTTTCTCTCTCATCGATGTTTCTAGCTCTCTATCCCTCTCTCTCCCTCTCTGGAAAAAAAATAAATAAATAAAATCAAGAAAATATATTTAAAAAAAAAAAACAAGACAAAACAAAACAAAACCCAAAGGGAGAAGTGCGTGGAGGAGTCCGGGAGACTAGGCACAAGTTTCCAGAACCCTCCCCACCAACTCCCCCAGAACGAGCCGTCACACACTGTGGAATGCTGCCCCGGAAACCCACTAGACACCAGTGCCTAGGCTTTCTCCCAGGGCCACCCGCTCCAGACGCCCAGACAGAAGTGGTGCTCAGCAAAACCCACATTGTTTGCCAACAGTTTACACTCAGGGAGCCCCTCCTTCAGGGGTGGTGGGGACGGGGTACCAGCCTCGCCAGCATGTCTTTCTGAGATGGCAGCCTCAGGCCCACATGTGGTGCATCTGCGTGCAATCCAGCAGGAGTCCCCAGCCAGGAGAAAATGCCGGCGCCTGCCTCACCACGCTGAGTCCCGAGGGGCAAGAGCCGTCAGGCCTCAGTGCTGTCCTCCCAGCATCCTCAGGAGCGGCCCGGCCCTCGTACCTTCTATGTTGTTGTAGAAGTGACAGGAGCGACTCGCCACCTTCTTGCGGCACAGGTGGATCTGGGAGGGAAAGGACGGGTGGTACCGGCTTCCGTGACGGCCGAGAAAGGCAGAGCACGGGCTGCCAATGAGTCCACTGCTGATGGGGGGAGCCCTGCTGCAGCACCTCTATCCCCCACCCTGGGGCCCAATGGGGTCCGAGAGCAGCAGCACCACCCAGCGCCACCAGAGGACAAGCGGGTGGCCCAGGAGCCCACCTGCATGTGGTTACTCTCCTGCTTCTTCACCTCGGGGTGGATGCACAGCTGCTCCCGGGAGCCCAGCACACACACCCTGGGCCTGGGAAGAGAGAGTCGTGGGACCCAAGAACAAGAGGGCAGTAGCCCACGGTGCCGCCCAACAGCCTGAGCTGTGTGGGCACACACGGGGAGCACCAGGAAACGTGGCTCATGTAGGCAGCCAGAGGGAGTGGCCATGGCCAGAGTATCCCAGGCTTGAGAGGGGCTTCGTCCAAGGGCCCGGGGTGAGCAAGAAGCCAGAGCCCAGGCTAGGATTGCAGCGGGGAGGAGACTCGACAGCACCCATGTGCTCGCTCACAGGGAGGCAAGTGGGGCAACAAGACTCCTGCAGCTCTGCCGCTGGACCTGGGTAGAACCCCGCTCCCAGGGGCCACAGCGATGGCCAACCACAGCTACCACCACAGCGCCTGCAAGGAGCTCAGGGTGCGGACCAAGGTCATCACGCAGTCGAAGCTGCTTTCTCACAAGCAGGGGGCACTGGCGACCACCCAAGCATGCCCAAGGCTCGGGGGGAGGAGGGGAAACAACACTGTTGACCACCGTGTGGAGGCCATTGCCCCCCAATTCTGAGGCAGGTGAACGCTGCCTGACCCACCGGTAGGATGTGTTGCGAAGCTCGCCGATGACCTGTGTGAGCTGTGAGTGGGTCCTGGAGGCATAAATGATCTTTGGGATGTCCGCGTAGCAAGCTGCCCAGGCACAAGAAGCAGAACAGGGCATGGCCCCATGAGACAGTGTTCTCACGTGCTGTCAACCCAGGAGCACTCAGCCAGCTCAGTGCTTCAGCCAGCTAAACGCCAGCTGCCCAGTGTCGTGCCAGGAATGGGTTAGCGGGCGTGTGCGATGTCATACAGTGTAAGGCTGACCCTAGGTGTGCAGGCAGGATGGCGAGAAGTGACGTGGCAGCTACAACACTGCCTGCTCACTGCACTCGAGGGCCTCGCCTGCCCACTCGTCCCTTCCCCCCTTCCTTCTGTCCCTGCATTCCTGCGGGAGGCCAGGCCAGGGGCTGACCTGTGGCGTCTTCCTCTGAAGCAGCATTCCCCCAGGAAGACAAGGGTCGACTGAGGAAGAGATCCCCTTGGGTCCTCTCAGCAATCTTGCGGGCAGAGATGGCGTCGCGGAGGTGCTCCCGCCAGGCCAGTGTGCTGCAGAGCAGGCACAGGGTCTTCCCTGTGCCCGTGGGGCTCTCCAAGACGCCGTTCACTTTCTGAATGGGAAAGCGGGGTGAGGGAGGCAGGCCACACTCCCCACCTGAGACAGGCCTGCGGCTCTGCTCAGACAGAGTCACCACCAGGTAGCAAAAGTCCCGAGGAACATGGGACTGTGGATAACCCCATAGGACTACTTCCACTCTCAGACCAACTGGGGTTCAAGCTGGCCCTGGTTAGCGAACAATACGCAGAGCCTTCTCCAGCCTCATATAAATAGCAAGGTGATTAATTAGGTGCCACGTCTCAAAATAGGAGCTTGTTCTGCGAGTCTGGGTCCAAGCTTTCACATTGGATGGAACCTGGGGGCCTAAATAGCTCTCAGATGGGAGCTGGAGCAGGAAACCTGGGAGACAGAAAGGCAGAGCTGTGCCAGGTTCCTCAAGAGTCTGTGTGCTCAAGAGCAGCCCGGAGCACAGGTCAGGCAGCCCTCGGGGCTGGGGCTCGAGCAGGAAAGAGGAAACCCAACAGAATGCCACCTGCCTCCTCCTCCCTTTTGCACACCACCCCCCCAGGTTTAAAAACCTTCCACAATGAGGACTGTCCCTCTATGTGGGAACAGACCCTCTGGATTCTCAAATAAATGGCTGTCTGTTCATTTGGCCTCAGCTCAAACATCGCCTTCTCAGGACGCTTCCTCAGAAGCCTATTACCTTTCGTCTTTCCTTCACAGCACTCATCACCGTCTAGAATGACCTTTTCTTATTCGTTGTTTATCGTCTCTCATCCCACCTAGACCATCGGCCCTACTTATTGAATCCCATGTCCAGAAGGACGCCTGTCACCCAGTAGGAGTGGGCCACAGGGAATAGGCCGTGGAGGATGTCGGTTCTTTGCTGAAGCTCTGCCCACACTGACCCATCCCCCAGGTACAAACTTTACCTTCTGCAGACACTCCAGAACTTTGGTCATGTACTCCTCCTGGCATTTGTATGGCTGGAAAGGGAAATCCACGGTCACCCCACTCAGGATTATCTTGGGCATAGTGGCCTCTTCTCAGGAGGACTCTGAGGCTGGCTGACATGCAGGCTGTGTGGATCTGTGAGACAAAACCCACTCTGAACACCTCAGGGTCGCAGGCTCCAGGTAAGGGATGCCAGCCCGTGGCACTGGGACATGACACAGTCTTCCAGGGAACTCCTATGGCACAGAGATGGGGTCAAGACTGTTGGTAGCCAGCTTTTCTGGAGGCCAGGCCACTTCAGTCATCTCAGGCAGCCCCTCCCAGGGCCAAGGCCCTAAGGCACGCCTGTGACATCCTATCACGAGGAGCTGGAAGGTGAAGAACCTAGCATCAGCCCTGCCTTGTCCTTCTGCCTCACACAACTCACAGACTAAAGGAGCAGAAGTAGGGCACGGGTTCACACACTCCACCTACGATAACACTTCCTTCCACCAGAGTTTGAGAGGCCAGATTCTAGCAGCGTCCCATTCCAACCTGGGCCGGTCTGAAGCTCCCGCCCCTGTATCTCTCAACCCTCTGCTCCCCTGGCCCGGAGCTACGCCTCATCTCTCTGGTGGGCAACTACGCATGCGTAACGAAAGTGCTTGTGTGCCGGCTCTAATCTGGGAGACGAATTCGTGTGGTCCCCAGCAAGTCACTCAACTTCTCTAGGCCTCATTTTCGCCTGGATGCCCGCCCTTGCTGCAGGGCCCGGCCACAAACGATCCACAGCCAAGGGGCCGGTTCCCCAAGACCAGCGTCCAAAGCCCAAGCGCGCAGGAAAACTACCAATCCCAGAATGCAGCGCGTCCAAATAGCTTAGCGTGGGCCTGGGGGCAGCGCGGAGCCTGCCGGGAGCTGTAGTCTCGGAAGCCGCCACCCGGCTAAAAGTACTAGTTCTAAGATCTCCGCGACCCTTGGCCCACTAGTCTCTGCGGAAGCCTTACACGACCAAAGGTCCCAAGAATTCACCCCAGTCCGTCCGAGGCACCACCAGCGCGTGCTCCGCCGTCTGCCAGTTCGGACTTCGCGCGCTGAGGTGCGTAGTGATCACTTCTGCTTCTACTTCCGGTCCGTTGCGTTGCGCTCCCAGCGGAAACCGTTCTCCAACTGAAAGTTCCGCACTGCCTGTGCGCTTGGTTTCAGGCCCCACCTGACTTTCTTTGACCCTGAACGGGCACTCCATTTCCCGCGGTAAGAAACCTGGGGTCCCGCCCGTGCCCTCCCTCGATGTCATCTGCACAATGGACTCCATTCCACTATCCTTCCCTGGAAACCAGCACTCTTTAAGGCTGGTGTCTAAACCAATCACTCTCCTTAAATCCGCAAATGGTTGCCCCTTGCCATGACCTGGCTCCTGGGAGCCTCACCAGCTCCTCCTTTACTGTTCCCTGGGGTTAGCCACTTTTCCTGTCACTGTCCCCCATTGGTTAGGGTGGGATCCCTCTGAATCCCCAGCATCTGGCACCAGCTGGCAGTCAACGGAAGGTCCCAGGGGTCAGCACAGCTTTGTGGGGTCAGAAATGCTGGCAACCCCAGCAGGTTCCAAAGACATCAGGCAGTGATGGCCCATGGGCCACTGACAACACTGACTTCAGAGCTCCTCGTGGTCTCATTAATGTCCAGACGTTTTCTGCCAATGGCACATTTATGTCACGTGTGTCCATGCTGATATGTGAGATCATGCTTGGGGAGTCTGGGATACATGCTGGCATCCACCTCTACCACCTGTTGTGGTGAGGGAACTGTGGAGTGTCTACCTTGGTCTCTGAACAGGGAGTTTGGAGAAGATGAGGAGCTCTGGCCACACATTTGCTTAATGCTTACCAGCCACAGGCTTCAGAACTATCCAGGCAGGCACTGGTATATTTGTGCTAATGACCTTTAGGATAAATTCTTCTGCTGTGCACACTTCACAGGTGAGGGAAGAAAGCACAGGTGGTTAGTACATTGTCTGAAACCAGCAGCTAGCAAGTCTCAGAGAGGAAAGGGAAACAGACTGACCAGAGCAAGCCCTACTCAGAGGCACAGGGATCTTGATCAGCCAATAAACTTGAATTGATTGTCTGCTCTGGCAAGCTTTGTGAGACTCCCACAGTGGACCCAATGCCATGTGGACCAGAGGACAGGTGTTACCCAGTCATACATTTGCTCCTTGCTCCGTGTACATATCAAGGTGTTTGTATACACACCTGTTGGGCCTCCTCCTGGCTGACTCTGATCCTTAGGTTTATCCCTGACTATCACCTTTCTGAGCCTACCTTATCTCTCTGCAAGTTCCCGAAGTTTCCCAGAGTTTTATTCCTGGCCCTGGGACTTAATTGCTTGTGGAGTAAGCACTACTCTCAGCCTCAGTGACTCTGTCCCTGAAATGGGAATAACAGTTCATCTGACTTTCTAGTCCCAAAGTGAGGTGAGGTGGTCATTGCAGAAAAGGGCCCACCATCTCTGCAAGGACCTCCCTTGTGGGAATCAACTAAAGCCCCTAGCCTGGGGGAAGGGGGATCAACCATCCACTCACCAACTGTGCACATTGTCCTCCACCACCTGGGAACTGGAGTCATTGCCTCTTCCTACCCCTGAGACTCTGACCGGAGGGTTCAGAAACTCACCTTGCCACACAGCAGTGGCCGTCAGAGTCCTGCGTATCTTGCTTTGAAGCTCTTGTCTCAGGCCCTTGGTTACCGCCCCCACTTACCCTCTTCTCTGCCTCAGACCCTGCCAACCTCTGGGATGCCTCTCTCAGCCTCCACCCACGTCCATGGCACGCTTTCCCCTCAGCACAAGCCTGGGCACACAAAAGGTGCCAGCAGCCTCCATGAAGAGCTCTCTGACCCCACCCTCACATAGAGCGGTCCCCTCCTGCTGGGCTTGCCCTGAGGAATGAGGGCTGTCTTCTCCATCCCCCCCCCAAGCCTGCACAAAGCCAACTGGGACCAGTGTGTCCCTGCGGCCAGGCGAGCCTTGGAGGATGGGCCTCTGTTTGCAGCACTCTGCCCGCACCTCAGACTGGCTCCTCCCTCCCTCCCTCCCTCCCTCCTCCACTCACCCCTCTTTCTCTGAGCCTGCAGCCCCTGCCGCAGCCAGGCTCCAGTTCTCTCTCTCTCTCTCTCTCTCTCTCTCTCTCTCTCTCTCTCTCTCTCTCTCTCTCTCTCTCCCCCCCTTCTTTTCTTCTTCTCCTCCCCCCTCGCCGCGCCGCCTCCCTCCCTCCTCCCTCCCCTCCGCTCTGCAGCATTCGCCCGCTGCAGCTCCAGCCGCCCGCGCCTCCCGTCTCCGCAGCGCCGCCGCCAGCACCATGGCCAGCACCATGTCCGGTAGGCGGCTTGCCCGGGGCTTGCGGGGACTGCGGCGGTCTCAGCAGAGGCCATTGTCTCGCTTCCTGTTGCTGAGGCCAGTGGTGGACTCTGTTTTCTCATCTCGGACCCACGCACCACAAGGACGCAGGGCGCGGCCCGGCCGAATCCGCAGGAATCGGGATTCAGGGTCCCGGGTTGAGGCGACCCCGTGCCCCAAGGGATTGCTACGCGGGTGTGGCGGGTGTGGCCGGAGGACCGTCCTGGGCGAGGGAGTCAGGGTCCTGCCTGGCGCGGCCGATCCGGCTGCCCGGGAGGTGGGCGCGAGCCCGTGCCCCTAGTGGGCGCGTTTGTGGGCGCGGACAAGGCCCCCGAGGGACCCGGCGCCCCAGGCCCTGGTGACCTGCGCCTTCGCTGAAGGGGGTGGGAGGGGGAACCTTTGTAAAAGGCCGGGTCCGGGACGCGGAGGCCCAGCTCTTCCGGCGCCAACGGGGAGCTCCGAGGGGGAGGGGTGAGAGAGGGCTGGAGGGGGGCCCTGGAACCCAGAGGGGCGGCACTCGGACCTCGCATCGCCCCCTCCCCTCGCTGCTGCCTAGTGGGTCCAGCCTCTGCGCACGTGCCGCGGGGGAGGGAGCCACCGCCCTGGGCGCGGCGGGGGAGGGGCGCCCGCCTCCAGAGCGGAGCTCGGGCGGAGGGCGGCCCGGCGGGTGGGAGCGTCCAGGGCCCCAAGAGTGAGGAAGCGGGGCTCGCTCTTCCAGGCGGTCTGCTCCGACCCGCTGCCCCAGGACCAGCTTCCTCTTTGCACTCTGCGACGGGCGGCCCCGTTTCCCACTCTCACCGGGACCCGCACTCCCTCCACCCTTCCCTCCCCCCCGGGCCGCCGGGGGTCCCCGCTCCGCTCCCCTGCCGGTCCTCTCCAGAGCTCCGCCCGCCGGGCCCGCGACCTCAGCCCCAGGTAACCCGCGGGAGAGTGTGTGTCCCTGAGCACACCCCCACGCCTCTGGGGTCGGGTCCCTCTAGCTTCCTCCACACCTGCCTCTCGCTGACTCTCACAGAGACGGACCAGCTTTGGGCAGAAAGGGTCCCTCCTCCAGCCGGCTGGGTGGCCAGCGTGCTGCCCTGAGCGCCTGGTCCTTGCTCCTCCCTGAGCCCGCGGGGCGGGGCGTGGGGGAGGACAATGGGCAGCCTCCTGTGGGGAGCAGTCTCAGCGTTATCTCTCGTTCACCCTCCTTAGTGGTGAACATGCTGCTCAATAGGACTCCCGGCCCCATCCACCCAACAGGTACAGACTGAAAAACCACCTTCCATGGCTGTCAGCTGTGCACAGGCACCTCTGACCCCAGAGCCCCCTGTCCACAGCCCTTTCTCTTTCCAGATGCTGGGGCACCACTAACCCTTACTTGGTCCCAAATTTTTCTGGCCCCTGGCTGCCACCCTCGATAGAGTGTGGCTACAGGTGTGCAAAGCTGTGCTCATCCCAGGGCCTCCAGCCTTCAGCACCGGAGAGCATGGCAGCCTGGCCTAGAGGGGGCTGCACGAGGCCGCCGTAAATGTGGCCAAAATCTAGCTGTGGCTTCTCTGAGAGACATCGCTGACCACTGGTGCTCTGTCTGGTCTTCGTGACCAGGGCGGAGTGTCACCTGCAGTGCCTCGCAGCTGCCACAAGGCTGATGGGGGAGGGGAGCAGCTCTCACCGCTGGCGCAGAAGCCTGCTCTCTGTGCGCCTGATGCAACCCCATCAGGCCTGAGGCCCCGCCTTCTACTGAGCTCCCTTGGGCCTCTGCTCCCATCCAGTGGTGATAATGTCACCCCCCTAGGCTTGTTCTGAGGGTCGAATGAGAAATTTCAGGACAGGTGCTTGTCTGCTGCCTGGCAAGAGGAGAATGCCCTCCATGTCAAGTAGTATGACTGGTGGCGACATTGCCCATTTCCTGCCCAGAGAAAGGTGATTGCACCAACAGGGTCCCCCATATTGGGCTCCTGGCACTGTTGGAGACAACTCTGATGGTTAGAGAGGGGCAGCTTGGTGGCAAAAGTTCCACCTGTTGGAGGGCAGTTAGCATCAGCCCCAGAGCCCTTCTAGGGGTGAGTGGGCATCTGTGGGCCACCTGACCTCCCAGATCTCCCATGAAGCTCCCAGCAGGAAAGTGCCATCAGAGGCCTGGGCTTGTGACCAGGCTCTGATCCTGGCATGCTGTGTGACTTTGGGTGGGTCACTTGCCCTCTCTGAGCCTCCTTTTTCCTCTGTGTGAATGAGACTGACAAAGGTGTCTGCCTGGATGGCTGATCTTGAGGGTCACTTGGGAGAAATAGGTGGATTTGCCCCCTCCATTGCACTGGTTTTGTTGTACCATGTGACTATATGCTGATCTGCTGCCTTCTAACTCTTGCTCATCTGGGATCTAGCCATCAAAGCCCAATATACATTTTTGTATATTTAACATTTGATATGAAGAGGAAGGAGGAGATGAAGTCAATCAGGTTCCTGGCCATGGAAGAGCGTTTTCTTGTTTATTGGCAAAGCTGTCATCACTTAATTGGTATCAGATTCTGACTTGCACAAGTAACATTCTTCACTTTTAAAACCCTGGAGGGTGCTGGGTTATTGTGCAAAGATCTGTTTCTCAAATGTTTTCACTAAGTTGAACTAATTGTTTCAATGGTGATGGAAGACAAGGAACATTCCTTTTTATCCCTATTTCAGAGTTAGTCTTAAATGCAAGGAAGTGGAAGGTCAAAACTGGCCATTCTGCTGGCATTATGTAACTCAAAGGAATAATTAGCCAACTAAGTCAGGAGTAACTGAACTACCTGCTAAGGACTCTGCTCTGTGAGTTAAGTACACAGATTGGAATTTTATAAAGCTGTTCTTCCCTTGGGGGGTAGGGGGTAGAAAGAAATCAATCAGGTCATGGCAGAGATTTGTTGTATGACTTCCTGAAGTCAGGGATGTGGAGGGAAGAGAAGGGTGCCTGAGAAGGGGAGACAAGGCCTGGTGCCTCTCGACCTTGAGGGGCTTCTGAGCTGAGTATGTCTGTGGAGGGGTGGCCTGGATGGTCTGGGTCTCTGTCTCTTCTCTCTGCAATGAGACGTGACCTTTAAGCCCCTCCAGCTCTGAAAATACAGGTGTAACCTCCTGTCTTGCATGTGGCTGAGCTGGCCTCGTTCTCCAATTCCCCACCTGCTGACCATCCCCCTCGGTCATGCAGCCAGACCACAGAGCAAGGCTCACTCTCAAGTCCCTTCTCATTTGGCTTCACGAGGATAAGTCTTCTGGGAAGGACTGGGATAAACCAACCTGGGGAATCTCCATGACCATCAGACACTGAGCTCTCTCTCTGTTGGAAGCTGTAGGACACAGCCCCTCACTTCCCAGGTGGACGCTTACCCCTGGGCACAGCTGTGACCTATGAGAGCTCTGACCTGTCTCCAGCCCCCATCCCTCTCCTCTCTCTCTTGACAGCACAGCCCGCATGCCTGCCCATGTTCCCCATCCTGCTCCCTGAATTGCTGCCAGCTTTCCCCCATGCTGAAGTGACAGTGACCCGGAAGGAAGCACCCCCTGGCATTTGTCCATAAACTTGTTCCTCCTCTTAAATGACTTTGCACTCCATTTCCTGGAAAAATTGCAGGCTCAAGGCAGAGAGAAGCCAGAGCAGCTGTGCGGCCCCAGGTTCCTGGCCTGTAACATAATCCCGCTTACAGGTTCTGAAAGGTCAGGATGGGGGACTGTATCTGCTGCCCAGTGGCAGGTGCTGGCAGAGCTAGACAGAGTCCACTCCTTCCTGTTCTCTCCCAGAACCCAGGGTGCCTCCTGATCCAGGCGCCTCTAGAGACCCACCCCATCTTCCCTTCTGAGCACGGGGCTAGCTACTCCCCGGCTTCTCCTGGACTGCTGCTCCTGGTGAGCCAGCTCTGCCTGGTCACATGCACTGTGATGTATCCCTCTGCCTCCTCTTTGAAATGAACTTTTAACAACACCAGTAATATATGAATAGAGAGTCAGACCAGCCCTGACTGGTTTGGCTCAGTGGACAGAGCATCAGCCTGCATCCTGAGGGGCCCCAGGTTTGATTCCTGTCAAGGGCATGTACCTTGGTTTCGGGCACATCCTCAGTGGGGAGCGTGCAGAAGGCAGCTGATGGATGTTTCTCTCTCATCGATGCTTCTAACTCTCTATCCCTCTCCCTTCTGTAAAAAAACAATAAAATAGATTTTTTTTAAAAGAAAGTCAGACAAAATCCCCTGTGAGCCCCCCACTGCTCTCCCGGAACCAATGAGTAAGGTGTGTTTTTGCCCCAACCCTCCAGCCTCCAGGGCTTTCCATGCTGAGGTCCAAGAGTTCTTTGTGGCCCCTTCAAAGCCTCTGGGGCTCTCTCCAGAAGAGTCTAGGCCACAGGGTATTTTAATCAAATAACATCATTCCCTTTGCTGGCTGTGGGAGGACCTGCTCCCAGGAGCTATTCCCTCAGACCAGGGCCTGATTGTTTCTGTCCTGTGCCCTTTTCTACACCAACACTCTTCTCACTTTCCTATTAACTCAGTTTCAAAACATCTTGTGTGAAATTCTTAAAAAATATTCTAAATTTATTTCAGAGAGAAGAGAGAGAGAGATAGAAATGTCAATGATGAGAGAGAATTCTTAATTTTTGCCTCCTGCACATCCTATGCTGGGGATCAAGCCTGCGTGTGCCCTGATCAAGAATTGAACCGTGTCCTCTTGGTTCATAGGTTGATGCTCAACCACTGAGCCACACAGGCCAGGTGTCTTGTGAAATTTGATCAGAAAGTTTCTTGTCCACATTTTTGTGTGCCCCTTGGAAGAGTCCATAGGGGACTATGCATTCGTTTTCCTTCATGGAAGCCAGACTCCTTCTCCCTGGAGTATGTCTCTGGTGTCACGTGGGCCTCTGAGCCTCCTAGCCTTCAGGACCTGCTGGAGTGGTGAAAGGAACACAGGCCACCTGGAATTGTGTGTGAGGAGGTTTGGGAAAGTCACTGGAGTGACCTGGGCCTAGCATCATCTTAGTTGAGTGGGGTGACAGTATTGGGCTTGAGGCCTGGCTTGGCATGGATACACCACAAATAGCTCAGTTATTTCCATTCCAAGAGTCGGCATTTCCCTTCCCAACAGGGCTCAGGCTCAACTCTTTCTGTCTGGGAGGTAATAACTCTTGCTGTGACATTAGCTCTGCAAAGCTAAAGGGTGGGCTGTGGTGCTGAACGGACAGCTCCCTTCCGTTTGGCCCTAGATGGGCAACCAGTGCATCTGGTGAGCCCGGGTTTAATGGAGTGACCACAACACTGTCAGGTAAGTGGGGGAGAGGGGGCAGAGGTAAGGGTGTCTGTGGGCTTCACTCAAGTGTACAAGCTCCACTCAGTGCCAGCCCCGTCCTGAGTGGTTAATGTTGTCTACCCCGGGGGCAAGTTCTGAGAGGAGAAAGTGGTATGGGGGGTGGGTAGAAGGAGTGAGAGTTGGGAAAATATAACAGTGACAAAGAACCAGAGACACAGGAATATAAGGAGATAATGACATAAAGAGATCCAGAAAGACAGAGGGATGAACAGAAACATAGACAGTGAGGGAGTGATCCAAAGAAAGAACAAAAGACAGACACAGCAGTGCAGAGGGAGACTAACAGACCAGGGCTGAGAGACAGGATCAGAGAGAACAATGCAGGTGACCCACAGGGAGGCATGTCCAAGGAAAGACCCCAGGTGGGGAGGGAGAGTAGAAATGTAGAGAGTCAGAAATGTAAGAGCCAGATGACAGAGAGCAAGAGCCAGATGACAGGCTCCCAGAAAGATGCACCAGAGGGAGGAGTCGTGTGTGTGTGTGGGGGGGGAGAAAGGGAGCAGGTGAGGGTGGGGCTGCTCACCTGGACTTTCACCCACAGCCTACAAAGAGAAGATGAAGGAGCTGTCTGTGCTGTCGCTCATCTGCTCCTGCTTCTACTCACAACCACACCCCAACACCATCTACCAGTATGGGGGTGAGTGTGCCCACTCCCCATCCTGTGGCCTTTTGACCCCTGTCTTGGCTGGCTTCTGAAGAGGGGCTTTTGGAGAGAGTGACTGGTTAGGGACTCAGGCCTGCAGGCCCTCCATGAGCAGCCACACCCTCTGGCTCAGGCCTCAAATTGGATATGTGCTGGGAACTGGCCCCTCCACCCACCCCCACTTGGCTGACCTTCCTGAAGTCTGATCTTGCTCTGCAGACATGGAGGTGAAGCAGCTGGACAAGAGGGCCTCTGGCCAGAGCTTTGAGGTCATCCTCAAGTCCCCTTCTGACTTGTCACCGGAGAGCCCTGTGCTCTCCTCCCCCCCCAAGAGGAAGGACACCTCCCTGGAGGAGCTGCAGAAGCGGCTGGAGGCAGCTGAGGAGCGGAGGAAGGTAAGGATCCCACGTCTGGTCTAATGAAGGTAGCCAGGAGGTCTTGCTGGCCTTGGACATGGTCCCCAAGATGCAGGGTGCTCCAAACCGATGCTTGGTGGTTGGCCTGTGGTGGAGAGTCCCGTGGTTTCCTGGACCTCTTCCTGAGAGGTCAGAATGGGATGGGGGAGGAAGGATTCCCAGCAGCAGTCAGCTGGAGGGAGACAGGAACCAGACACTGTTCTGGGGCCTTGGCCATGGCCAGGAGGGTCTGATGGGGGCCCTGGGACATGAGGCTGGAGTGGCATCCTTCTCCTGGACAAGGGAATGAGAAGGAAGGGCCTTCATGTGTTGGGGGCTGCACAAATAAACCTGTTGGGGGTTCAAGGGCCTTCAGGAGAAGTGGGCCCAGGCCCTGCCCTGCCCCTTTACCTCACACCAGCCTCTCTGGCCTCCAGCCAGAAACACGCTGAAGCAGAATTGCTCTCAGGAGTGTGTCCTGGTATCTAAGCTCACAGGACAGGGGCAACGGCCCCACCTCCTTCACAGCAGGTCCCATGACACCTGGGCCCCTGGCTTCCCAGAGATAATCCAGAGCGCCTGGCCTTCTGCGGAGGCTGAGGGCTCTGCTCCTGGGAGCCTCAGGCTCTCACTGGGTGCCACAGGCAGCTGTCCCCCAGCAGGGCCCAACACTGCCACCAGCAGCCCCAGGCTCCTCTCTCTCTCAGCCTCCCCCAGCACCCCTGGGGAGCCGGCCACCACTCCTAGCACCTCAGGAAGCTCAGCACCTGGCCTGTACCAAACTGCTACTCTGCTCAGCGGGCAGAGTTTGAAGAAGAGACAGGAAGGCTCAGTGATAGCCCACAAGTTTAGATTCTCTTTGCTCCTCAGCATTCTCCCAGCGCACCGCCGAGAGCAACGGAGGCTGCCTTGCCTAGGCGCCCTCGGCCTAGCAGGGAAGGGGCAGCTCTGCAGCAGGGAGGGGACAGGAACAGAAAGATGAGGTGCTTTTAGCGCTCAGGTCCTAGGAAGGCAGGCAAACCAGGAAGAAGGCCCCCCCTCCCCCAACCCCCCTCAGGACAGTGTAGGCGTGAGCTCCGTGAAGACGTGTGTCTTGGGCAGCAGGCAGGGTGACGGGCCTGGGCGGGTCAGAAGGCAGTGGGGGACCAGATGGGGGCGCGGGGGGGAACCAGAGGGGGCGCGGGGGGGGCAGGGGCGGAGCCGGGGCCGCGCTCCACGCCCTCCCGCCCCGCCCAGACGCAGGAGGCGCAGGTGCTGAAGCAGCTGGCGGAGCGGCGCGAGCACGAGCGCGAGGTGCTGCACAAGGCGCTGGAGGAGAACAACAACTTCAGCCGCCTGGCCGAGGAGCGGCTCAACTACAAGATGGAGCTCAGCAAGGAGATCCGCGAGGCGCACCTGGCGGCGCTGCGCGAGCGGCTGCGCGAGAAGGTGCGCGGCGGCGGCGGGGCGCGTGCCCAGCGGGGCGCGGGGCGCGGCCTTTGGGGGGGGGGGGGAGGACACACGCATGGGGCCGTCGCCTGGTCCTGCTGACACAGTCGATAACCAGGGAGAAGCCTCTGAAGCCGCGCCTCCGGTGTGAGCCAGGGAGGAGCGTGCCGGGCCAGCCCAGGCTGGGGCGAGGCCCTGCCGCCGCGGAGGGGGGCGGATGCGGGAGCAGGACCCCAGCCCACCCGCCTCGTCCCCGCAGGAGCTGCACGCCGCCGAGGTGCGCAGGAACAAGGAGCAGCGAGAGGAGATGTCGGGCTAAGCGGCTTCGGACACCGCACCTGGATCCTGAGCCGACAAGAACACGTTCGGGTTTTGTTTTTGTTTTGTTCAACTCTGTCTAGATGCAACACTTTGTTCCCGCTCCTCCCCTCCCCTCCCGCACTCCCCGCTTCAGGCTTCTCTTTCGCACTCTGAGCTGTCCAGTCCCGCGGCGGCGCCGCCCGGCTCTCCCTGGAGGAGTCCCGGGCGGGGTGGGGGTGGGGCACAAGGTCCCTCAGTTCAGGCACCAGACCGGGTGGTGGCTGGGTCCCCTCTGGGCAGTCCTCTGAGCGGGCGTGCTGGTGACCAGCAGTGGCGGCAGGAGCATGCAGTCTTTATGCCGGTTGTCCTGTGAGCAACTTTCTCAGGGCGCCGCCCGGAGCGAAGGCAACACCGCCCGAGGTCCTGGGGGGAGGAGGAGGAGGAGAAAGAGGAAGAGGAGGAGGAAGTGGAGGAGGAGGAGGAGGAGAAAGAGGAGGAGGAGGAGGAGGAGGAGGAGGAGGAGGAGGAGGAGGAGGAGGAGGAGGAGGAGGAGGAGGAGGAGGAGGAGGAGGAGGAGGAGGAGGAAGGCGTGACTGAGAGGAACCTGTGGGCGGTGCGGCCAGCCTTGGGGACTGGCGCAGTGAGCTTTGCAAACTGATGGGTGGAGGCTGCAGCGCCTCTTAGAGTGGCTGCCCAGAGGTCCTCGGAGGCCAGCTGGCCTGAGAGCCCGGTCATTGCCTGTGGCTGGAGTGGGGCCTGTGGAAGGTGGCCTGGCCTGAGTCTCCAGGGAGTGGGCATTCTCTACCAAGGACCCAAGAGCAGGCTGGGTGGTGTGCAGGGTTGTGGGCAGCATGACACCCCTGCTGACCCCTCCTCCCAGAAGTGCCCTCCTTCCAGAGCCCCGAGCCAAGGCCCTGTGGGGAAAGCCTGCTCCTGCTCCTGCTCTTCCTCCCCTCCTCCCCAGACCTGTCCTTAGAGCCCTTCGCAGTCCTGGCTCCTTCTGGTGCCCGCCCACGATGCTCCACCCTCACGCTTGTAGGCTTGCCTCCAGCCAGTGTAACCACAGGTGCTTCTCGGGAGCCCCTAGCAGACGGCAGGGGCCAGGGTTCCCAAGCCACCGCCCCACCTGGTCCAACCTTGGCACTCCTGGCTGCTGGCCACTCTGGCCAGCCTGCAGGCTGGAGTCCTGGCTCTGGTATTTTCCTGCAAAGACCTCCTGGACTGGGTTCCGCCCCCGCCCTCAGCCCCGCCCTTGAGGACTGCCACCTGCCTGGACACGGCGTCTGGTTTTTGACCCCTTGCAGCATCATCCCCTTCTCCAGGCAGTCCCACCCTCCGTGGGTGCTGATGACAGGGTCCCTGCTGATCATTCTCTGGGTGGAGAGAGAGGGGACGGACTACAAGTCCTTTTAGGACCCAGAGCCCAGCTTCCTTCCTGCAGAAACGAATGGGGGCCCAGCCAGGGATCAGGGTGGGAGCTGATCCCCAGGCTTAGGGGAGGTGGGGACACATGCCTCCTCCTCGTCCCCATTGAGAGCCTCCAGGAGGGATAAGCAAGGAGCGGGCCCAGCAATGACACCGGCAGCTTTGGTGGGACTCAGAGGGAGGTGGAAAGGGAGCGGAGGGCTGAGTTTCTCATAGCTGTGGCAGCTCTCAGCGCGGAAGTCTAGTGTAAATGCACTCATCTCATCCTGTAGTGAAAGTGAACTTAAAAACTAAATCAAATGAACAATTAAAGAAAAAACAAACTTGTGTGTTTAAGAAATGGTTGCAGTGTCCCACTGTCCTGCGTCTGTGGGGTGGGAATGGGCTTTGAGCTGCGGCCTGTGCATGAAGGAGCTGCCACTCCGGCATCAGCTTGTGTTACCACCACAGTTAGGAGCAGTTCTGGTGACAATGACAATTTTAAGAAATGAGTGTGTAAATGACACTCAGCCCATTTCCCCTTCAGAGCCCGGGAGCAAGGGGGTGGGGGCCAGGTGGCAGCTGCGCATGTCGGCACTCTGCCTGCATCTCCACAAGTGTCACCTCAGTGGCTGCACAATCACCTGTTATTTTGAGAAAACTTCTCCAACTTTTAGGTTTCAGGGACTCTTTACAATCTTAAAAATTCAGGGAGAACCTCCAAAGAGCTTTGTTTATGTGAAGCATATGAATCAACAGTTGTCACATTAGGAATTAGAACTCAGAAATTTAAAAAATATTAACTCACTTAAAACTGATCTATCCAGGGACTCTTCCCCTCCCCAGTGGGAATCTGTACTGAGATTATTCTCCTCCCCACGTGGGAGTCAGTACTTGTTTGTTCTTCAATAAATTCCCACCTTTGCTGTACAAAAAAAAAAAAAAAAAAAAAAAGATATACCCATTACTGTTAGCATAACACTTTACAATTAAAAACAAGGGTTGAAGTATATGAAAAAAAAAAAAACACAAAAAACTGGCTTCATGGAGATCAATGGCTGTCGGAAAAGGAATGTGTATTTTAATAGCTCATTCCTTAATACCAAAGGATGAGGGTAGTTTCTTTAAAGTTGGCTCAATGTGAAGTCAAAACCAACTTGAACTTTCCTTGCCCTTACATCAGCCATCTAGTCTGTCACGTCCTTGACTCAATCTTTACCCATGGGTGGGGACTCTGGGGCCAGAGCGGAGGGAGGGGACAGGATTGGGTGAGCTGGGCCTGCCTTGTTCTGCTTCTTGTCTGGTCTGGAGCCTGAGAAGAACAATGAGAAGCTCGTGATGACCTCTTGGTCTGCCTCTCCAGGGTCCAGGTGTTCTCAGGAGAGGGTCTAAAGGGTCCAAAGGCGGTGACCTGCATGACACAGAGTTTTCCTCTCCCTGCAAAAAGCCCAAGAGAAAGCTCGCTCCCGTGGGACCTAGGATGGGCATCTCCCATGAGTGCACCCACGGAGAAACCAATACCTCATAGCCCAGTATGAACTAATCCATCTTGCCAACCAAGCAGAGCCCAGTGCAGACAGAAGAGGTGAGGTCAGGTTCAGATGTTAGGCCCGAGGTCATGCTGCAGAGGAAACATGGAACCCGGGAGTCCGAGTGCTCAGACTCTAGCTGCTGACCATAGCTCACCCTGACCGGACAGCAGTAGGCGCCTGGTACAAGCATGATCCCGCTGGCAGCTCTCTCTCTCCTGGTGCCACGCTTGCTCGATCCCTGACACCAGTGCCCTTTTTGGGCCTTCTTTGCTGATATTATTGGCATTTGTGTCCAGAACATGAAGAGGGGAATTCAGATAAATAATGGACCTAGACTGCTCATCTGCTCAGATAATAGGCTCAATAGCCTAACCTTTAAAAATACTTTTTCGAAACATATATAGAGGATCCAAGATGGCTGCTCGGGCAGACATCTAACTGCAGCAGTACACAACAATTTCAATGGAATACAACTAAAATGTAGAGTGGACATTGCCCAGAGCTACAGGTAGTCGACTGACTGAAAATTCTACAACAAGAAGGAAAGAGAAAACCAGAAGGAAAATCAGAGAAGCTGAAAAAAAGCCTAAGGTACGGAGACATGCTGTGCGCTCACACGCATGCGCGTGCAGAGAGGCCGCAGCCGGAGAGGAGGAGAGGGCTGGGTGCTGCCTGGCGTTCCCTAGCAGGAAGGAAATAAAACCCCCAGCCTGGGCTAAACCCCCAAACCGGCAGCGCTGAGCCCCAGTTATGAACCAGACCCTGGGGACCCAGACTCCAGCGGGGGAGACGGGGCTGTGAGGCGGAATCCCGGGGGAGCAGCGAAAGGCGGGGCCCCCGGAGTCGCATGCACTTTGCGCGCAGAGGACTGAATGTTGACTCTGATGCTGGATTACCCTAGCCGGAAGAAACAAAGCCTCCGGTGGCGCTGAGCCTCAGTCCGGACTGCTCTGAACCCCAGTTCTAGGCCAATCCCTGGGGACCCAGGCTCAAGCAGAGGGAGACGGGGCTGTGAGGTGGAGTCCTGGGAGAGCGGCGAAAGGCCGAGCCCCCCGGAGTCTCGGAGTCTCGCACATTGCTTGCAAGGGAAGGAATGTTGACTCTGATGCGGGATTGCCCTGGAGGGAAGGAAACAGGAGCCCCAGCCGGCCGTGTTGGGCCCCAGTTTCGACTGCTCTGAACCCCAGTCCTAGGCCAGACCCTGGGGACCCAGGCTCAGGCAGGGGGAGACGGGGCTGTGAGGCGGAATCCCAGGGGAGCAGCGAAAAGTGGAGCCCCCAGAGTCACGCACACTGCGTGCAGAGGACAGTTTGTTGACTCTGATCCTAGACTCCCCTAGCGGGAAGGAGAAAGAAGGCTCCAGACTGGAGGAACGCGACAGGGAGCAGGAGCCCCTGCCGGACGCCGGCCAGCCGGGCGCCACCAAGGAGCCAGGTGACAGGGCCCCCCGGGGGGGGGGGTGCCCCTGAGCCTTCGACCGCTGAGTGCAGCCAACGGAGCCAAGGCTGGGGGCTGCTTCCTGGGTGGTGCTGACCCCGGCAACAGGCTGAAGCAGCGCAGGAACCCACGGAGAACAAAGGGGTGCCACAGGCCAACCTGCTGAGCTCCCAGGACAAGGAGGAAGAAACCAAAGAAGTTCTCAATGTGAAGAAATCAAGTGAGAGCAAAAGATAGTAAAATTACTTAAGAAAGAATACAAAGAAGATCTTGAAAAATCAAAGACTAAGTCAGAACTCAACTCACCAGCCAACATTGCAACATAAATGCGTTTAAAAAAAAAAAAAAAAAAAAAAAAAAAAAGACAGAATGTTGGAACAGCGGCGGCCAGGCCTAGAGTGGCCAGGCACAAGGCAGTGGCAGCCAGGCCCGGAGCAGCAACAGCCAGGCCCCAGAGCAGCAGCAGCCAGAACCAGAGCATCAATAGCCAGCACTGGAGCAGCCAGACCTGGGGCAGTGGCAGCCAGGCCTGAGGCGGAGGCGGCCAAGCCCAGGGTGGCCAGTCCAGGAACACCCAGACTCCGAGTGGCCGGGCCCGGAGAAGCCGGGCCCAGAGCAGCCGGGTCGGGTGCAGCCAGGCCTGGAGCAGCAGCTGCCAGGCTGGGAGCGGCCAGGCCCAGAGCAGCCGGGTTGGGTGCGGCCAGGCCTGGAGCAGCAGCAGCCAGGTCCAGAGCAACTAGGTCGGGAGCGGCAGTGACCAGACCCGGAGCAGCTGGTTGTGGAACGAACCAGAGCAACAGAGGCCAGGCCCGGAGCAGCCAGGCCCGGAACAGCTCGCTCCTCGCCTGCCCCTGCCCCACCGCTGCCTCTCAGACATGGCTGGAAACTTTTGCGGGAACTTGAGGGTCTGCTGAATCAAGTGATGAAGGCTTAGATCTGGATGTGTTGAGTTAGTATAGGGCTGGGGTGTTGATCTGTGAGTACCTTGGGTGGGGCCTGGATGAGGCT